CAGAACCTATTACTACAGTAGTAATAGGTTCTGGACGGTTAGTAGTACTAACCCATTTTCAGGTGTTGTTGATCCAGTTTCTGCTATTGTGCATGCCCCAGCTTTTATTCAATCATTGACGTCATGTCTGTCATCAGGTTAAGTTTGTAGTGTACTGCCTATTCAGCCTATATCTGACCTTGAAAGTCAACTATCCAATGTTTTTAATAATATCTCTCATCAAAAAAGTCTAGAAAAAATAAGGCTATTTCAAAAAGCTGGATCAAGGAAGTCCCTTAAAAGACATATGTATCAGCGCACCCGAATACTTCCAGGCACTCCTGTTTAAAATAAACTATTTAAGCTTTAGGAAATGAAAAAAAAATATATATATATATATATAAATATATATATATATATATATATATATATATATATATATATATATATATATATATATATATATATATATATATATATATATATATATAGAGAGAGAGAGAGAGAGAGAGAGAGAAACTATACGTATTGTCTACCTTTTAAAGTTATGAAAAAAATTTATAATATAAAAATTGCTTTACTTTTTAAGAATGCTTTAATAATAATTTAATAAAAAAACTTTTCAAATCTTTAAATTTTAACTATTATAATATAAAAATTTTGAACGGTTCGGTAGCCGTTGTGAAAATCACTACTTAACAGCAGCTTGGATATTAGTACCAGTTTAAATAATATTTAGAATACCCGTACAAAATGTGTTGATTTACAATCGGTATAAAAAGATTAAAAAACTTGTAGAAATAAACTGCACGATTTACGATTTATTTGTTTAGAATTTTTTAGAAATTTTTTATATATATATAACTATACCATATCATAAGACTAAGATCTCTCTCTAAAAATTTTTTTTTTTAAAGTTTCTTGCATTTTGCTGAAATATAATGAAGCATAATTCTGCTGTTTTTTTTATTGAAGTTCATTAGCCTTTTTTATTTCTATTCAACGAGCTTACATAAATTTTGCTGTAACTTTTCGACTGTTTTCGACTTGATTAATAACTGAAATAATTTTTGTGTCTTCTGCGTATAGTTTGGCATAATTAGTTATCTCGCGTGTTGAATCATTTATATAAATAATAAATAAAGGGGCTCAATAGATGATTTCTGTGGTACTCTACTTCTTACTTTTTCCCATTCAGAGCTGATCGCGCCAAGAACTTCTCTTTGAAGATGTCGGATTTGGGCATAAAATATCAAACTGTTTTGTTTGAAAAATTTGGCAGATTGTCATCTTCAATAGTAAAAGCTGTACTAAAAAAAATTGTTTAGTTTGTTAGTGATCTAGTAACTAGTGATCTAGTAACTATTTTATTTTCATTCTCGAATATAATTTTCAATCTGAGTTTTATTATTTAAATATTCGTAAACTATTTTGGTATTTTTCTTTATAGTTAAATATGAACAGAAAATAGCACTTTTTGCTCGCATTTAACAATTACATTTTTAATAGCTTTTTTTGTCGTACTTTTTATATTTTTATATTTCGTCTCAAATTCTTAGTCTCTAAATTTTGTTTTCTACACGTTATCCATAAAACTGTTTTTGCCTAAATTAATGTCCATAGACTTTTGTTAATCCAAGGTATTTTTTGTATCACTTGCTCATATTTAAACTTTCAAATATCTTTGACCAGCTAATATTATCAAAATCTTTGTTAATTTCATCATCTTTTATGTATTTTTTTTAAAACTCCGTTGCAATATCTTTCGATACACTGTAATTGTATCTTTAAAATGTGATGACCGTATTTAACCGTTCCTAACGGTGGATGAAATTCTAGCTTACATATTCGCGAATTATTTTTAGTTATTACTAAATCTAAGACATTAGTTTCAGTTTTATCATCCAGCTGAAATGTTAACTTGATTATCGACGCCTTTCAAGCACCATTTATAAGATCTTATATTTTGAAATAAATAAGTCTATGTAGTAGGCTTAGTGAAAGCAATAGGAAAGACTCAAAGAAGTCCCATTCAGCTATGAACTTCAAAGTATTAAATGCTGCCCTTTATATGTTTTGTCAACCTTAATATTTCTTTTAAAAGCTCAACTTTGGATAGAAACTTTGGATAGTTTGTCATAGAAATTGGTCAACTTCGGAACTACCACCAACAACTCTTATTTGGTTTCTGATAGAAGACTCTTAGTTTGAATAGCTCCAAACAAATTGGACCAAAAAGAACCAGCTATGGACCTTGTATGGAGATGAGAATGAAAAGGATCAATACAGCATGGCCCCTATGGTTTTGCCCTTGCAAAGTGATATTAGTATCTTTTAGTTGTTCCCCTGCCATTCTCTTTTTTAATTTCTTAAATGGAATTCCATAAAAGTCTGATTTTAAAAGTGTCTGTTCAATCGCGTGCTCCGATAAGTGACTGCGTTTTTCCTGCAGAAAAAGTCCTAATGCTTCTAGCTTTTAAATATATATATATATATATATATATATATATATATATATATATATATATATATATATATATATATATATATATATATATATATATATATATATATATATATATATATATATATATATATATATATATACACAGTGCTTTTTTTAAAAAAAAAAAACTCACCAGTGTTTTTCTTTATATGTATCTATATATCAAAGATGGGGGAGAAATTAACAATTCAATTTATACTCAATAAGGCGGGAACAAATAAATGTAGCTGTTTTTTAATATAAAAAGTTTCTTTTTTTTTGAAATAATGAAAAGTGTTTTTTCGGGGAAGGGGGGGTGAGCATGATAGGACACGTCACTTTATACAAAAAACAAACTTTACAAAGCAAGAAACTTTTATTACAAATCCCATTGTTTTCCAATTTTTGTTAGAAATTTTCCTCTCGTCTTCTTTTCTTGTTCTTAGTGTCAACTGTTAAATGCGTTCCGCTAAATAACTACGAATCAACGTACTTTAAAGAACCAAAGCTTATTAGCGGTGGTCTCATCAATTTAATGAATAGCAACGCTGAAACTGTTTTTTTCATTAATGAAGTCCTTGTTGGTGTGATGATCAGATTCATCTGTGAAAATCCACGTTTGCATTCAATTGAGGAAATGGAAATGGGGATAGTATGTAGAGCGTGTACCAAATGAACTAAATGTGACTCTCTGCTATTTTTTAGAGAAGCATGATACACGATTTAAAGCTAATCAAGAAATGATTTGAATCTTTTAATGCTAATGATCTCCCTAATGGTCCCTAATAATCGCCTACTAATAATTCTAGTCTATGATTAGCACGATGCCAAACTAAAATAGAAGAAAAATTTTTAGTGATTAATTTGAAAATGCCACTTTCGCATCCTACCATCACATGTTACAGATACTAAATAATTCATCAAACATTCTTCTTTCTTTCCATAAGAATGAATACATTTAAGTAAAGCACCAAATAATCCTTTATCCGTAACGCTTTTAAGTTCCACTAAATTTAAAAAATAAATTAATTGGTGAATTCTTTACACTGCTTCAAATATACACTATCAGTGTTAATTTTTGACTTATAGTGGTTGACTCACCAATTTTTAACGAAACCTTACTCTTTGATTTTATGACTTCTGCAATAATTTTTTTTCTCATTTCGTTTCCTATACGATTGACTATATTAATGCATGCGTTTGTAAAAATAGGGAATACGACCTATTTCAATTTCGTTTACTTCTTGAAGATCAGTTTCCATTTCAAAGTTGTTAAAGGACTGGTTTCCGTTTGCAACTTTATATGCAGATCAAAAAATGTTTGCTGTTACAATTTTATCACGCGTTAAAGACTTTAAAATATTGTTTGAAAGAATCTCTTTTTTAGCTTCTTCTACTATATTTAATGAAGCTTGATATCCAGTGGATTCTTAATGATCAAATATTTTTTTACGTAATAAACTAAACTGTTGCTTTTTATATTCGCCACGATAAGAAACTTCATATTTGGACCATTCTTTCGATATTTTTATTCTTATCTTCTACTCCAATTGGTTTCACTCTTTGGCAGTCGGGATAAGGGTAGAAAATAGGCTAGTGTTTATATAAAGGTCTTTTTAATTTGAATATGAATAGATAAAATAATGTTACATTTTTAAAGTTCAAAGTTCATTCAGGCTTACAATATAATTCAGTACGTCATTTTACTTATGTATGAAATATACATGATAATTCTGTAGACAATGATAATAATAATAATAATAATAATAATAATAATAATAATAATAATAATAACAATAATAATAATAATAATAATAATAATAATAATAATAATAATAATAATAATAATAATAACACAATGAATTTATTATGATAAATGAATAATAAACCTCCTTTTAAATCATTTGAGATAAAAAAAAAAAAATCAAAATGGACCCTGTGCTTTATCTGGTATTTATACTGTAGCTGACTACAATCTCCTAATGTAATTTATAGAAGAAACATCTTTGATAACTCTACGGAATCCTTATACAAATAGGCAGTTACGTCCTCAACAGCAATTGAATCCAAAATGTCCTTCTTGGTCGACATCAACATAAATGTTTCAAGCTTGTCGTTACATAATGAGAAATGCAGCCTAGTTTTGACAACTTTTAATATACTAAATGCCCGTTCACAGCTCACTTGTGAGAATAAAAGTGTTAATAGATATTCGTAAGTCAGAAACTGATTACGAATATCATTCGTTTATTAGAATCCCCAAAGTAAGTTGCTGTACTCTACAAGAGACTAATTAAATTTTTGACAGCTAATATATTTTCCACAATATCTGTTGCGGACAAATTTAGAACGTGTGCGTAGCACCACATGTATACAGCATTTGGTGAAACGTCGTTAATGTAACGTTGAATTCCATGATATTCACCACGCATGTTTGCTGCTCCATCAAAGGATTCAGCCACAATTTTTTTACATTTTTAAACTATTGTGTTTAAGCTCTGATTTCAATAGTTGGTATAGTCCTGCACCTGTTGCATCAGTAATTTTTTATCACAAATAATCGCTTTTTCACGTCCTCTCCAAGTGCATATCGTATGATTATTGTCTCCTGATCAATTACCGACGTATCTTGACTACCATCCATTTGAGCACTGAATTTCTGATCACCAATTTCCTTGATTATACAGTTCTTCATCAAGTTTGAAATAGCAGCTAGAATTCTATTAACTGTAGTCTTTGACAACATTGTTACCAAGCCTCCACGTCCACGTGAGCTTCCTTTTCCTTTACGTATCAAACAATCTTTCCTTTTTTGACTTGCCTGAATATCTTTTTCTATATGATCATTATAAGGAACGTCAAATTCTGGTATCAGCAATATTAGTTTCAAAAAGTTTCCGTAATCAATAGATTTATCGTGTAAACTGTAGAGAGATTCACCCCGATTACCTCTGTATGAAAGAGCTTGCTTCCCAATAAAAATAAGTGCTGAAAAACTTTGTTTAAATATTTTGATGTTTTTCAATACTTGCGCTTTCTGCTTTTCCACTATACCTTTTGTGATTAAAGAGCTTATATCTTTCTCTGTTGTACAACTTAATAGTGCAATTACAGCAGCGTTAAGTGATTTAGATTCTTCATGGTCTTTGATTCTTTGGTATATATGGGAAAACTTTTTAAATCCAAGAGTAAAACTAGAATCTTCTTTCGAAAATGCCATGCATTCATTGCAGTAAAGTGCCACGATTTAATTGTCTTTAACTCTTGTGGTTATCCAACGTCTTTGTAGATACTTAATATCTGATATTAATCTTTGGTACACTATTTTTGGATCATACGGAAAATGCTTCACATCTGTATGGTTCGGCTAAATAATGTTATTATTTACTAATGCTATTCTTTGGTTACGCTGTGCACAGTCAGGAAGCTGTTTATAAATCAATTTTGTTGTTTCGGTACACTGATATTTATGGTTGAGAATACTTGACTTAGCATCCTCTTTTGTTATTTCTATATACACATTATATTAACTTTCTTCGGTAACAACTGTACCGAGTTCTGACGTACAGTCTGTTATAGTTTTACGGGCAGTTTGCTAATGGTAAAATCTGATTGTTTATCTTTTTGAGGACTGGAGGACACTGTATTTGACACAGTACTTGCTTCAATGATTATGTTAGGCGTTCTATTCCACAAAAAAGCTTTTTTCTTAATTAACACTGGGTTTGACGCGGGAACAGATGCTTCTTCAACAACATTGATAATATATTCATTATTAAATAGCAGCTTGCGTTGTTTAGGATCACGACCTGATTGAAGCAAATCACGCTTCTTCTTTTCTTGTCTTATTTTGGCACCGCTAGACTTTCTCCTAGACTTACATAATGATGAGTTCTTTTGGGTCTAGTTTAAACTATCATTTAGTAAAGTAAACAGCATGAGAAAAACTAATTCACGTGAGTATTTGTTAAAAAGTCAAAAAATATTTTTCTGTCCTCCCCTAAAATATTTCTGAATTTGCTCCTGATACAATTGATGCTTCAATTGTATTGTGAGAAAGTGAAGGATCATGAATTTGCACTTGAAGCATTAACACTAAATGGTTTTATAGCTATTAATTATATGTAACATGTGGTATTATGGAGATGTACAACTTATGATTTGGAGGGGAGGGGGCGCCAAGGATGGCGGGGCGCACCGAAAATTTCCCGGTTTCCCGGTGGGCCAGTTCGCGCCTGCTCTTTGGCAGGTAGTGCATCTAAGCTTTTTTGTTGAAAACAGTCACTTATTTTTGGAATAAAACTCTGTTCTTTCCTCTTAAGTCCAACAACTTGGCCAGCTATAATTGGTGTAATTGCGAGCAGAAAGTGGATCTGATGTTGTAATTTTGATTTCTTCTGCACTTAATTTGATTTTTTTCTGAACAGAAAATCATTTAAAAGTTAGGTTTATGTTTTCTTCCCGTTCTGTATGCCCTCACTAATTGTTTGTAGTTTTTAATTCCAGGTTTTTTTTAAGAATTTTGTTAACTTATCGTTCGCAATCTTTTTCGGTTTTTTTTTGCTGTCGGTGTAATTTTAAACAAGTTGCGATGCAGAATTTACAACAAAACTTTGTTTTTAAATAAATCAAATTTTGAATATTGACAACAACACTTTGTTTTAAAATAATCAGTTTTTTTTTAAAATATTAGGGTGCAACATGGCGAACGTTTTGAAAGCCCTTAGTTATTGCAAAATTATCAGTCATGAAGCAGTAATACTTTCTCAGTATGTTTATGTTATTAAAATGATTCATTGCCTGCATGATTTTTCAGTTTGCAAATTTAACAATTTAAAATAAATACTAAAATAAAAAGTTCATAAATTTGTCACCTGATCACGTGACCGGGGCAAGATGACTTATTATGCAATTTTTGCCTCCAATTTTATAAAATTTTAAAAACTACCAACTATTAAACTAAAAACTATTGCGTTAATAATATTTAAAAAAATTAATTGGTGTTTTAAAATACAAGATGCAAATACAGTTTCGTTTTTACACAATTTTAAGATTTTTTGTTGAGTTGTTATATGAAAACCCATCTTGCCCCATTCGCTATGATGTCCCGCTTTCCCCTAAATACTTGCATTAAATACCGTTATTATATTAGTTATGTTGCAATACCAGAATAACTGTGTAGATTTTTTGTCCGGTATTGAATATCAAAACCTTATCCTAGTATAAAGATATCAAAACCCTCAAACAATATATGTTTTGAGTTTTTTCTTCATCTTCTTTGTCTAAATAATTCTTTTTAATTTTTCTTATTCTTTTTTTTAAATGTTTTTATCGCGGTCAGTGGTTCTTGAAGATTTTTTTTTCTTTTCATTAAGTTCCATGGACTTACGAACGTATAAAAATACAACTAATAGACAATGTAAAGCATTTAAAAGAAACATAATATGAATAAAATAATATTGTTTCTTTTAAATACTTTACTTTGTCTATCTAATAAAAAACTGTTAGAGATAAATTAAAATATTTTAATTTATCTCTGAAAATTCCTGTAACAATGGAAGATTTAAATATTTTGAATATGAGTTTGTTTATTTCCAGAAGGACATTCACTACTTTGCTACATATTTCATTTATTCCTAGTGCTTTTTTAATTTTTAAGGAGTTCTTTGCAATTTCGAGTTCCTTATAGCTTAGTTTTTGGGATTCTAGTTCGCTATGTAGATCTGTAAGATTTCAAAAGAAGTAATTAGGTATTGAATTTTGGATACCATGTTAGGGCTAACATTTGCAAAAAAACTGTTGAAATGTTTGGCGATTGTACAATTTTGGTCGTTGTACTTTGTTTCAATCACAGCTATTCTGTCTGGTAAGCTATTAATTTTTGTGTTTTTTTTCCTTACTATTTCTTTCAAAGTGTTTCACAATTTTTTAATATCACAATTGGTTTTTCGAATAAGTTTTGAATAATAGTTTATTTCTAGGACTTTTCCAAATTTTTTTAAAAAGGTTTTTGTATTTTTGTAAGTAGGTTAGTTGACATTTCTATTTTTTAGATATTTTATGTAGAGTTTTGTTTTGTTTTTAAAGACTTTTTAATTCAACTAGTAACCCATTGACAGTTCAGATATTTTGTTTTAATTTTTTTAAATTTGATTCGAAGATGGTTATTATAGTGTTTTAGGAAAATATTTATAAATGTATTGTATGCAGAATTTGTGTCGTCAAAGTTACATTCTTTATATTATATACTTTGTTCTAATCCACTGCCAATAGTGTGTCTTTTTTTGAAATTTTTAAATAGAAACTTCATTAACTTTTTGAAAATGATCCAAAAAATCAGTTTTAGCAATACCTGCATTTAGAGATGATTCTAGAAATAAGTTTGTCAACAAAACAAGCCCTGTACCCCGCATATAATAAGTAAAATATTCTCAATACTACGTTTATAAGTAAATAATGTTAAGTCTAAATGAAAAATTAACATTCAATTTATTAATTATATATGTTTAGCAGCTCAACACTGATTGTTGAATTTGGATCAATCATCCATAATTTTTAAAACTTTATGCTAATTTTGTGCTAAAAGAAATAATTTAAATTGGCAGCCGCTATAAATAGCAAGCCTATAATTTTCCGATATCTTAGTAGTGGTTAGTCATTACCCCCTGTTGCCAAATAATAAGGCATTTTAAAATCCATAACTACACTTGAATAGCATGGTAGCCAGCATCCATTTACTAAAGGAGTTTTTTTTATGTTAAAGCGTATGTTTTGTTTTTTTGCTCTTTCTTTTCAAAATGTTTTAAAGAAAATTACCAAAAAGAACCAGAAAAATTTGTACAAAAAAATATTTGAAAGCTTGTTCAAAAACTCAAAATGTGTGCCTACAATCATATAAAATTTTTTGGGCTTTTTTTTACATGTTGGCGAAACCAACATAAAAAAAAAAGACTAAGAAAAATGGAAATAAAGTTAAATGATGCTGTCAATGACATTTCAAACTAAAAACTAGTAAAGTATTTTTACAATTTATTTCGAGTCCTATTCAAATCTAATAAACCAAAACTCTTTAAGAAACTGTAATACTATTGTTGGAGACACAATATATACTATTTATTTACTTAAATTTTAGGTATTAAACTTATGACGTTAATCAAATCAGTAGGTTAAGTATTGCCTTATAAATAATCCTGAGGGGAAAAGGGGAAAAACCTCATATTAAGTTTTAGCCCGGGCCACGTCCTACCAATTTGTGCATCAAAGCTGACATACATCGGCAGACTTAAAAAGAGACGCAGTGGATTGAACTTATGACGTTAATCAAATCAGTAGGTTAAGTATTGCCTTATAAATAATCCTGAGGGGAAAAGGGGAAAAACCTCATATTAAGTTTTAGCCCGGGCCACGTCCTACCAATTTGTGCATCAAAGCTGACATACATCGGCAGACTTAAAAAGAGACGCAGTGGATTGAACTACATTCTACATACTACATTGACTGAGGGTTTTGGTTTGAGCAGGAACTTTTTAAATAAAAATTTTTTTTTTTAAATATTTTGTTAAAAAGTTCTTTCTAAATTTTTTTTAAATATGGGGTTAATAAATAAATACAATTCAAATAACTTTCTTGAACAAATAGGTTGTATATAAAAATTCAACAAATTTAAATATAATTTTGTGTTTTTCGTACACTAATTCTTTGAATTTCGGAATTCCGGAATTTCGGAATCACCCCCTGCCTTGGCGTCTGTTTTGCTCTTTGTGAGACAATTTAAGTTCAGCTGTCTCATCTTGTATTCTTAGTGTTGATGGTTATCTTCTTTTAATTCGTAAAGATTCCAATAGTCACATGCTTGGCCTGGGCATTTATATTAGTAAGAATTCACCCTTTTGTCAGCAAAATAGGTTTAAATCCACAAACTATTCTTTTATGCGCTTTCATTTAGCACCACTTTTCTTTATCACCTTTATCTTTGTTCTATATTGCTCTCCTTCATCTCAACACTGCACTCTTTTCGATGTTTTTTATGATTAAATTGACCAAGGCCTTTCTCTTTATCCTTTGGCCAATATCATTGTTGTTGGTGACTTTAATGTTCATCACACTGAATGGCTCTAGTGTCAATGACTCTGCAGGCGTTAACTTTTTGCCTTTCTAAATCCTTAACACAAATAGTCAACTTTCTAACTCACTTTCTTGACAGTCCGAATCATTTACTCGACTTACGTCTTGTTTCTTATCCTAGCCAGTTTCTTCACATTCATTCTTAGGTGCTTCTGATCACGGTTTGATCTCTTAAAAAATATTACCTCATTTTTTTCATCATCATAACCCCAATCATCAGTGTCTATAATATGGGCAATGCTGCGCATGGATGTCGTAAGAACAGCTGTTTGACATTATTATCTGGGTGTCGGAAGCTTTTTTATTTAAGTTCTCAGACTACATCCGGTAGCTTTTCTACATAAAACCGGTTGATTTTAGGTCATCTAATGACATCAGTATGGCGAAGTTTTTTATTTTTCAAATACTTACGTTGTTCGAATATATATATATATATATATATATATATATATATATATATATATATATATATATATATATATATATATATATATATATATATATATATATATATATATATATATATATTTATATATATGTATAAATATATATATTATTATATAAATATAATATATACATGTCTTTTTTTAGTTTGTTTTGTTTTTTACAAAGTCTTATTAGATATTACCTTTTTTTAATGACCTAATTGTATGATCCTGTGCATAACACGATAAATTATAGTATAATATTACAAAATTACCATATTTAATATGATAATAATATTTAACTTCTATTAAAAATGTGAATTCAATTTTTTTTTTTAATTATCAGCAATAAGCTAAGTTGTGTATATTTTTGATATGTAATCAGTTTACAGATGAACAAATTAAAATAGATACTGTTTGTCAATTTTTGTTCCCTTTACAGAACAATATTGTTCTTTCCATAATTCAGCGTATAGGTGTTTGTGTGGTAATATTTCAATCTTATTTTTTTAAATGTTATTTCAAGTTATAGTTCTTGTATAATTTTTCTTGCATGAAATTGTTCTCTTTCCAGGAGAAATATGTCTTTTCAGATAAGGATATCAGGAGTTAATAGAAATGCGGATGAGGCTTAGTGCATTATAATAATTTCCATGTTTCTTTAATCTTGCGTTTGATCAATGAAACAAGTGTTCCTATATTATTGTTATTTTTTTGGTCTTTTTTTATTTATTTATTGTTTGTTTTTTTTTGCTGACTTTTTTTCTTTTTTTTTCTTTTTAAATTCTTTTGAGACAAACACTTTTTTTCAAGTGTTAATGTAATAAGTTTCTAATTAAATTAAAAAAAAAAAAAAAAATGTCATAGCATTTAATATTTGTGTTCAAGTTGCCCAAATAAAAATTTTAACATAGTTTAAAATTTAGTTAATTAGCCAGTTATATGATCCTCGTGTTACAAGATCCTCACTTACTTAATGTCTTTCTGTAATTAAGTTTTGAAAGACTTATTCTTTATATATGCCATTTTAGTCTTTATATTTATTTCTAATAATCAGCACTGCTCACCACAATAAATTTGCATTACCAAACTTTGCTTGGATATTTTTAGAAAATCAATCTTGGTAACCAAATGCATGTCAGCAAAAATCCTTCAAGTTTGTGCATAAAATAAAAAATCCTAGAAAAATCTGTGTATATGACTTGATGGACTGACCTTTATCTGCTATCATAGATAAGTGATTAATTTACTAACTAGCTGCTCTAGCCTGTTGCTCAACTTTTTAACTATGAAATTCAAGTTGATATGTGGTAAGTAGGTTGTTAATTTCAAGATGAGTGGTTTATTCTGTGATTTTAATGGCTCTGGACTCAGTAAAATTGGTTTGTAATTTGTTGGTAACAGTCTGTTTCCCTTTGACTATGTAATTAGCTATGTAATTAGCACAAAACTATTGCAAAGATAAAAGCCATTTATCAGGCTTTTATCTTTGCAATAGTTTTCATGAATAACATAGTTTTAGAGGTTAAATACTGTTGCGACCTAATAACTCCATGGTTTTGAATTCTGTTGTTGTAATAATATTTCATGGTAGCTGTTATTTGAAGCTCTTCCAACTATAAATTTGTAAATATTGGACAAAATTTGCCTCTACTCTTTTTCTTGAGGTCAAATTTAAACTCGAAAATGGCAATATTGAAACTTATCTAAATCACTTAAGTGTGGAACCATGGATATCAAACCACACACAGCTATTGTGCTGAAAGGATTTTTTCTTTGATTTCTTATACTTAATTTGTTTAATCTGCACAAGCCTTTTTTCTTTCTGGTTAAACAGTTTTTTTATATGCATCATTCTGCAAAATAACTAAATCTAGATTTTAATTGTTTATTCACTATTTCCTACTACAGTGCAGATGGTTTTTTTTTTTTTTTAAAGTTTTTATCTTGGTACTTTTAAAAAATATATCAAATATGGTTAAGTGTCATGTTAATGTCTTTAATAATCAAAGTAGAAAAGTTTTATTATGATTATTTTCGTTTAAAAAAAAGTTTATATAATGGAAGCGTTGGACATCAAGAAGATAGAAACAGAAGAACTACCTGCTACTTCCTCTGTATTATATGCTGGTGCTCATCACTTAGGTATTGTTGTTTTGCGTTTAGAATTATCTATTAATATTTTTTTTAATAAATAAAAAAAAATGTAGTAAAAATGGTAATGTAAGGTTAATAAATTTGTTGTACTCTTGTGTGCCTAATACAAGGAGGGAGGGGGGTAATTTTAGTCCAAATCTAATAAAGGGAAGAGGGTATTTTAATAAAATAGTAGGTGGGAGTTTTTTAAAGAACATGAATAAATCAATTTAATTCTAGTATGGCTTGCGGTCAAGTGCGCATTTTTTAACAGTTACTTTATCATAATTACGTCATGCTAATATGGGGGAGGGGTCAATATAAAAGAATGGGGGGGGGAGAATAAAAAGGACAAGGGGGAGGAGGAAGTTATCAGAAAAAGACTTCATGTTATAGAATTTTTTTATTTTAGTTAATAACATGGAAACCTATGTAAACATGTGTTTATATAAAGTTAACATTAGGGAACATAATGTTTTTATTTATCATAATTACAGTAAAAAATTTGTGTTAATAATTGTTTAAATTTTATATATATATATATATATATATATATATATATATATATATATATATATATATATATATATATATATATATATATATATATTGAATATAATATGATTAATTATATACTGTTAAATTGTTGGTAGTTTCTTGTATCTCAAATATCAAATGTTGAGTGCAATGGGCTTTTATTAAATTCATGTGCAAATTCTTTGTGCAAAATTTGTTTTCAAGAAAATAGTTTTGCTATCACTAATGATTTTTTAAATAAAGTATTACAAATATTTCCTCAAAAGGAATTGCTTGTGTAGCAGTTGTTAATGATTGTCTAAAGTAAATATTTCAAATGATTATCCAAAAGGAATTGGTTGTGCAGCAATCATTATAGAATATATTTTTATGTTTTAAAGTGTGGCAGCAGTTTCAAACATCATTAGTGAGTTTATACATACATGCGTTATCTTCAGGCAGTGTTTGTACAAATTTAAAATAGGTTAAGAATGAAAAACCTTCAACATGTGCGTTTCAAGTCATTAATCAATCATGACTTATTTTTATTTTTAAAAGTAATTTAAAAACAATTTCAAAAAAATTAAAATAAAATTTTAAAAAACAATTCAAAAAAAAATCTGCACTTTAAACAATCAAAGTAATCTTATTAGAAAATCTGCACCAAAGTTTACTTTAAATTTAAAAATGACAGGATTGGGAGTTACGTTAACTTTAAAAATATTAAGCAAATTACTTATTACAAAACAAAGTAATTAATAACAAAAGTATAAGTTTTAAATCATTACTTATTTATATAATGTATCTGTGTTTTTGAGCAGTGGTTAAAGATAAGATTTCTAGTGTACATTTTGAAAGCAATGCATTAGGTAGGAAAAATCTCTAAGACTTTATTATTTATGGTAAATTCTTTTGCATTCCCATCACTGCCTCAAGATGCAATGCCTATGTGCTTACAATTACTATTATTGTCTTTATGTCAAAAGATAAAAATAGTCTAATAAATTTGCTTATAAAATCTTACAATAATGCTTATCCAGTTGAAAAAAAAGCTGATTTTCAAAAAGAAGTCCATAAAATATGTAAAAAGATCAAAGAAAAGCAAGATTTGGAGGACCAAGTAAAGACTCTGATTTAAAAGTATACCTCAATGGTCTTGAAACAAAAAGGTTCTTTAATATTATTTTGGGTCTAGCAATCTGTTCGTTCCCTTACCAGTTCTTGCTCCTTAGAGTTTCAGCTTGATTCAGAATAATTTAATTTATTGAGCTGATAGCCAAATAAAAGTAGAGATTGTCATTAATTAAGAAATAGTTACTATGAAATGCAGTAAAAGAAGCGAATGATGCTGAAGAAGAAACCATTAAAAGAAAAAGGCCAGGGTCCAAGAGCTCATGACTAATCTGAACAAGTTGATTGGCATTATGAAATCAAAACAAAAGTCAAGGGCTGAAAAGAAAACTGTAATGAATCAGGTATTATTATCGTGACATATAATAATAAGATATAATAATAGTATTTTAGAAAATGAATGATAACTAATTTTTATAGATCTTTTCGATACTGCAGGAGTTAGCAGACCACATGGAAGTGAAAAAAGCTCTTAAAGTACAAGATGGAATTGGTCAAAAATCAAATAGAACAATCTGAGATATTGCACGTCATCATTCATTTTGCTGAACGTGGATCTGCTGCCCATAATAAGAGGCAATCTGAAGTATATAGGGTGAGAGTATATAATAAAAAAATTCTATTGGACTATGTTAGGCCTAAATATAACTTTTTAGCCTCTAAACTTATTCACATATAATTTTTTTAATTACTCTCAAGTTTTTAATAAAAGGAGGGGGGGGGGAGTAAAAGTAGGGGTGTATGGGGGAATTTTAGTCCAGCTCTAATAAACTGGAGGTTTTAATAAAAGGAATGAGAGGGGTTATTTTTTTCTTCCAAACTATATTTATTTCAGTCAGTTGGTGAAAACTTCCAATCTGATGCCATGTTACCATATAAGTATATTTTATAAAATATTTCAGTTTATAAATCCAAACTAATATTTTTTACAAAACACAAGTAAAACTATTTAATTCTAGCTTGGCTTAGGTTCAAATGCACATTTTTTATAAGCTGTTTTATCATAATTTCAATAGGATTTAATATGCTCATATAAGTTTTATATTTAAGTGAGAAATAAAACAAAAACTCATTTTTGACAAATCCAGATTTACAAGGTTGGCTATTTTTAATGAAAATTTTTATTTGAAAAATTACTAAAAAATTTTGTTTTTAATGGTGACTGAAATAATTATTTTCTAATTTTTAAAGCCAATTTTCATTCAATTTTTTTTTAGATTCAAGATATAAATTTTTTGTTGATAACAAGTAAAAATTATTAAAAGAGGGGGAATTAGTAAGCTTAGGGTGGGTAAGAAAATGTTCCAAAAATTATTAAACCTCCCTCCCTCCCTTGAATTAAAGACTCAAGAGTACTTTATAAATTGTCTCAAATTGTTGGATATGCTTGGTGCCGAACTCGAAAATAGTGCTTTATATATTCAGTTGATGCCAAAATAGAGCAAATCATTTGAAAGAAAGAGAAGTGTCCACATGGATCTAGTCAAATTAATGCAAGCCCAAAACAATCACCATTCAAGTCACATGGATTGTCCATTTTGTACAGCAACTATAAGAAATGAAACTATAAAAGTCAAGATGATAAAGCTTGGATTACAATTGGAATCACTGCTGCTATCAAACAAGATCCTATATTAATGCATATATGGGGTTTCTCTCTCTGATAATGATTGGATTATAGTTGCAAAGCACAAGCTCATCCCATCTGTCTATGCAGTCATTGAAATCAAACCAAATGGGCTTGGAAAATCTGGCGCAGTTTCATATTATGGTCTCATTTATGTTGCTGTTTGATCTGGAAAAAACAGATCAAACAGCAACATAAAAAAAACTATTTTACTAAGTTGGTCAAGCCAGTGGATCTTCTTTTGGAGAAACAGAATTTTGAATTTGCTGGAAAAATCTATGCCTTGGTCTTTTCAGGTCTCATGATTGATCAGTTTCCAATGAGTATATCGATCCAGATGGCAAGACAAAGCTTGATACTTGTCATCTCTTATTAAAAGATCAGGAATGGTTTGCCTCTCATATACGCAGCAGTCAATATTTCAAGCAAATTATGAAATGTGAAGGTCCTGGATGTTGTTCTTCAAAAAGGAGCTCTTGGATGTTGTTCTTTGAAAAGGATCTGCCAGTCAGAAGGTGGCTTGAAAGCTGTAGCCATTTCAGACGTCACTATCAAGAATCCTTTTCCTTCTGTATTTTTTCTTATGGCCTAAACTACTGAATAAACTATTGAATGATATTCAAACACAGAAAAAAGTAATTAATTTGAAAAGCTTCAATAAAAATGCTTAAATTAAGAATGGATTTTGTTTTAAAAAATAAAAGGAGGGATCCCAATTTTATGACATCCTTTTAAGGGGGTATAAGAAGGACAACCAGTAACAAAGGGAGAGGGGGTCAAAAATTGTCTAAAAAATGGTGACGTCCTTCGTGGACAGCCACTTATATAAGTTTTAAAGTATGATGAGAAATAAACAAAAGCCTAATTTTTGACAATATTTATAAGATAATTCAAAAGTCATTTTTAAAGCCTGATTATACTGAAAGTTTTTATTATTATCAGTGACTTAAATGTATAGTTTATGATTTTTTTTTTTACCAATTTATTGGTTACCTAAAAGACACAAATAAATTATTTTTCGTTATTGGTTTTTAGCAAATTTCCTATATTTAATTAATTATAATTATAAATATAGTAAAAATTCCTTGATTTTTATTTAATTTTTTTTTTTGGTAATAGTAATATACTATATATAAAATAGTCATTTTTTAAGCTACCATTTTATATTAATATTATTTTTAAAGGTAACTACTGTAAACAAGATTTTACAACTTTTATCCAAAAGAGATATGAAACAAAAGATCCAAGAGCCACTTTAGAAGAAGGAAAGAAAGTGACAGAGTGTGCGCTCAAGTTTTTTAGAAAGTTAAGAAAGGATTGCAACAAAGAGTTCACTGATCATTGGAAGTGCATAGATTACAACAATCATCACTTTGGGTTGTGTAGGAAAACGCAAGCGGTTTATGATGACTGTGTGTTTAAAAATTTTAATCTTACAAGTGATCAACCTATTCATCTGACAGGAGCTGAATAAAATAAATTTTTAAGTTTAAACTTTTTTATCATTCAGATAAAATAATTTTTCTAAGGCAGTAAATACATCAGTCTGTTTTTGTAATGATATAAAAAAGGGGTTGCTACTGAAGTAACCATTTTGAAATAAGTATTATATAATAGTTGTTTGTCATCTTACTATTTAATTTAGTTAAAATTTAAATAATGTTGTATTTTTTAATTTTGAACCGTAACAGGTTAAATAGGAAAAAGTTAAAATCAACTCATCTCATAAAAATGGTCTTGTGACAAAAATTTGTGTCAAAAACAATTTTTATAAAAAATATCTGCTCCCACCCTCTGAATGTGTTCTATATAATAAAATGATACTAGAATTAAATATAACCAAAAAAAAAAATTTTTTTCTTTTCTACCCTATCCCCCCTCCCCCCTTCAAAAAAGGTATTTTGAAGTTTTAGTTGGTTTTTTGAGAAATAAAGTCTAGTCGTGTAATAGACACATTTCAGGCGGGTGAATTTTATTTTTATTTTTACAAAACAATTTTATTAAAAATCAAATGTCTCTCTATGTTTTTATAAAATAATGATTATTTTTGAAATTTTTAAATAATTACGCATTTTTGAGACCCAACATTTTTGTACATAGAGACCCGTCTGATGTTAAGGGATTTAAGGGACCCTAAAATATTTTTTAAGGGTCTAATATTAATATTTAAATATTTAATCACCCCCTCACCTCTGTAAAATCGCCTCTGTATCTGAGGTTCTTATTTATGAAGGACATAAAAAAAACTTTGCCTTTTTTCAATATTCTGATTTTTTGTTGTTGTTGCCTGGAAAACAGTTACTGTTATATTATAAGATGCTAATTTAAAATTAGCATTTAATAAATTAAAGTTTTTCAAACGTACTAGGACCATGCTGGTGTAAACTTAAATGCAAATAAAATTTCAATGATTACATCATACTAGAGTATTGAAAGGGGTTTCATCATATACTGGTTTTAGTCTAGGTTTGTGTAGGTTTCTATGCGAGGAGTTTTTAAAACCAAATTATTATTATTTTTTTCTTAAATTTAAAAAAAAAAATGGTGTTAGGAATATAAGTCAGACATCGAACTTAAGAGTGTGAACAATAGATTTGTACGATGTATGATACCATGTACCCTAAAATTAGTACGTTGAAGTAACTGGTTTATATTTAAACTAACATTGTGGTTAGTGGTTTTTAGACGCACATTGGATAAATTCTTCAAAGTTTCTTTTTTTTTTAATTAAGTTCTAAAAACCCTAAAAAGTATCAGTGAGTCTGTAATTTATCATAAATTCTGTAATATTATTAACTTATACTTATAATTTATATAATATAATATTTTTTTCAGAAATTTAAGAAATCTGTTCAAAATATATCGTTTTCATTTAGTTTTTTAATTTGTTATTGTTTTTTTTATTGGCTTTTTGAAAAATAAGTTTAAATATTTTTTAGAAATTATTTGTTTGACTTAATTTTTTCAACTTTATTTGTGATTATTATGTTACTGTATATTATATATTCATATTATATTTAGTATATATACATATTATATATATTCATATTATATTTATTATACATATTATATATATTATATATATTATACATATTATATATATTCATATTATATTTAGTATATATTCATATTATATATAGTATATTTATTATATTTAGTATATATATATATATATATATATATATATATATATATATATATATATATATATATATATATATATATATATATATATATATATATATATATATATATATATAAATTGCTCTCGGAATTAGGAAGAAAGAAGACACGCATACACACACACATACATGCATACGTACATACAGATATACCCGGTGGGAAATGAGCTAGCGAATAGTTAGCTCTATAGCCATTTTTATCTCTCACATAATTTAATTGGATAAATTTACGTTTTAAAAAATTTGATTTTCAGTATTGGATCTAATATATTTATGATAACTGAACTTGTAACTTGCTATCTTATTACGACATGTCGTTATCTAGGTAATGTAGCTAACATTACATATTATCGTTAATACTTCTACGATATATCGTTGTTTTATAGCTTAATCTGTAACTACTACAAAGCAACAATTCTATAGCAATAGGTGTCTGTAGCCACTTATTGCTATAGTGATATGTATACATAACACCCATTTTTAGTTTACGATTTTAAAACAGTATGTTGATACCTACAATATCGTAGCTTGCTAAAACATAACTATAAATCTATTGATAGTCATTATCGCTAGCTGGGTGTAAATACACACCACATCTTTTTAGCTAGCGATATTATATTATTGTAGCTAACTATAACATAATGAAAAGTCTGTATTGATAGCTACGTATCGTAGCTTTATAGTTATCAACATGGTTGATTTAGATTAAACTTTTAAAATAATTAAAAAAATTAGGCCACAAACATAAAATGAGAGAAGTTTGGTTGTTATAAATAGAAATTTGGCGCATTTAACGTTTAATGCGCATTGTTTTAAATTGGTTTACAAAGCCGTTTGCGACAAAATTAATAGATAAATAATAATAGTATAAGTAATAGTATAATAAGTAGTAATATATAAATATGAATAATTAGAAAAATAATGCGATTTTTTACTAGCTAATCAACGTGGCCAAATTGCTGTCTTCATCGCTATGCGTTGTCGCTAGCTAGTTGTTAGCGATCTTTGTGTCCAATCGCTATCTTTGTTGCTACGAATATTGTTACGATTTCCCACCGGATATGCATATACGCGCACACGCACAATTTTATCGCCATACTTGTGTGATTTTGACACTTTTCCAAAAAGTTTTTTATATATATGTATGTATATTTGAAAGATAACATCTTGTATGAGAGTATATTATATACTTTTTAAAAACTTCAAGTATTACAGTTTTTCTCAATACTAATGATTTTATTATATCAGAAATTTTCGCTTTATTATAGATACCAGCATCCAGAGATGGGGAGTTCCAAAAAGTCACAAAAAGATTACTTCTTCCTAGTTGATGGTATCCAGGAGCTTTAAAAATATAAAAAAGCTTATGAACTACTAATGGAAAAAAAAAAACTTTAGTTAGAGAAACAATCAATTTTTGAACCCGAAGTCCTTATGTGTAATGGCGGCAAGGACTCCGGGCGTAAAAACAATAAGTTCCACGTCATTTAGTCTCATAAATATTTTTCTTATAGCAGATCATAAGTCAACCAACATGTTTAAAGCTTCTTGACACCAGAGATCAGGAAAAAATAAATAAAGAAAAAATAAAGCCGGAGTTCTTTTGGGACTCCGCATCCCTGCCAACATCATCAGCTTGTTAAATATATTGTAATAAATACGTTAAATATTTAACAAGCTGATAATGCCAAAAATTTCTAAAACAATTAAAAAATAAGTATTGAGAAAAATAGTATTTCTTGATGTTTTTAATTGATATATATGGACAGGGCCGCCGAGAGGAGGGGGAAGGGACAATTTGTCCCGGGTGGATATCCAAGGGGCACCAAATAAAAAAAAGGTACCTAAAAAAATATGGTCTTTCACATATAATATATATATATATATATATATATATATATATATATATATATATATTATATATATATATATATATATATATATATATATATATATATTGAAAAAGTTATCAATCCAGTAAACAAGCAAAAAAAAACTTTGTTTCAAAATTTTTTATATTTTATATAAATTTATTAGTTTAAGTGTAAATTAATTTAAAATTTTGTGTAATGTGTTTTATAAAATTATTTTTAATATAAAACATTTTAGACAATAAGATTTATTGGAGTTTTTTTTTTTGTTTGTTTACTGGTTTGACAACTTTTTCAATTTATATCTATTAAATCCATATTTCAAGTTTATATTGCAATTAGTAAATAAATGTAAAAGTTATTCTTATAAAAAAAGTTTTTCTATACAATTTATTGATTGCTAAGTATGGTGTTTATAACTGAAGATCTAGTTCGAAAGCGAGCTGAGCACAATAACTGTGAGCTATCTACTTTGGAAGAGGTATCTTTGCATCAGCTCGACATTGAAAAGATTGAGTATTTGGACAAATGGTGTAGAGAAATAAGAATTTTATATTTGCAGTCAAATTTAATAATGAAAATTGAGAATTTATCTCGATTAAAAAAGTTAGAATATTTAAATTTGGCCCTCAATAACATTACGCTAATCGAAAACCTAAATTACTGTGAGTCTTTGGCAAAACTTGACCTTACTGTGAACTTTATTGGAAAGGTCACTTCAGTAGAAAATTTAAAATATAATGGTTTTTTAACATGTCTGTATTTGACAGGCAACCCTTGCACAGATTTTATTGAGTATAGAAATTATGTTATAGCAACGCTGCCCCAGCTAACTCATCTGGATGGACAAGAAATTTCTAAAAAAGAGAGAATATTAGCAATGCAAAATATTATTGAGTTAAGATGTGACATGTTGCGACAAGAGAAAACATATTTTGAGAAGAAAGAAAAAGAAAATTTGGATATATTAAAGGAAGCGGTCTCTCATCAGTCAGATTCATCAAATAAAACGGTAAAAACTCCTTTAATACCATTAATTTCATCTTTTTTTATTTTATTTATTTACTTTTTTAACAATTAATCTATTCAGTTTTTTTGTTTAAATTGAAATTAGTTGCAGACAGATAAGGGTGATTTTTGGTCTAAACCTTGCAAGTACACACCAGAAAGTCGTCTTGAAACTCACAAATATTTGGAAGAACAGAAAAAAGCCAAAGAAAATGAAAAATGTAAATTTGGTAATTTAGAAGTACCTAAGAGATTATTACGTTATTTTAATGATGAAGGGAAACCACTAAATATTAATCAGCCACAGATCTCTTTTAAATTAGAGGATGACGAAGAAAATGCACAATATATCCTCGACGTGGGTTGTTATAAGCATTTGGGTAGGTGTTTTTAATGAGATATTGGGTAGATTGAAATCATTTCTTTTTGATGCTCTATTTAAAAAAATCACTACAGTTTTTTTTTGTTTTTTGTTTTTTTTTTGCGATTTTTAGATGTTCGCTTAAAAATTGTAAAAATTTATTTCAGACCCATCACTTATTGACATAGATTTACAGCCTTCTTATGTCCGCATAACCTTAAAAGGCAAAGTGTTTCAGTTGGTTTTTGATGAAGAAGTAAGTCCAGATAGATCTTCTGCGAAGCGGTCTAAAGTTACGGGAAGTCTTGTGTTGACTCTTGCAAAAGCTAAAGCTCTTATCCGGTGTAAAAAAAAAGAGCCTGTAATGCCATCAACTGTTTATTCTTCTAATGTTAGCGAAAACAAAAAGCATAAAAAGTTGGAGGTCGAAAAAAAAACACTTGATATCTACAATATTTGTGTTAATGAAAACGACAAAACCTCAGAAGTTAAATTTCGGAAAAAGCCTCCAAATCAAAAATATCTCAAAGCACTTGAAAATTTTACTGATGATATAAGCGTACCACCTTTAGAATAGAAAATATCCCTAATTATTTCAAAGCAACACGATAATTGCAACTAAAATGCTTTAAATATATAAAGTTAGTATAAGGAAATAACGAAATCAAAAAAAAAAATTTATATAGAAAAAACGGCAAAAAGTTATTTTCATATATTTTTGTAAATTATGTTAATATAATTTGTTAAAAACCATGTTATATATCTTTGATCTCCAATTATTTTTAAGTAATGTCAGTTTTATTTTTGGTTATGTATATTATAAATTTATTATTAAAACTTACACTCGAGTCGGCCTTTTCTGTTTAATAACTAATTTAGCGCTTTAAAGTTTCCCGTCAAAGAAATTAAGTCTATATAGGGCACCCTGGAACCATGACGTTTTACTTTTAACCCTCATCGCTACTGGTACCGCCCCTAACTAAATTAAATCTGATGAAATATATTTAACTTCATCTTTTAGAAATTTACTCTGTTAAAGATATCTCGCAAACGAATTTTTTATAATAAATGAAATCGTATTTTAAAAAATTTATCTAAAATAAGTCAATTTTTTTCACTACGCGTTTTAATTTTAAGCTATATTTTTTATTATTATTATTGCTTTTACACTAAAATAAAATCGCCGCTTACCGAAAATCATTTATTTAAAATAACCAATTTTGAGTTAAAAACAATTTTAAAATGTTATTCGTTTATTGCAATACTGAAAATTTCAGAGTTAGTTAGAAGTTGGTAAAAAATTAATTATAAAAATCCCTCACACAAACCTACATAATGTCATGTGCAAAGTTATGATGGTCAGAGGCTGTACCATCTCGCCGTTAAGCTTAACAGAACGTTGCCAAATAAATTCTTTTTAACTGCATTTATAAAATAGTTTTTAAAAATATAATTTTTTAAACATAAACCTTTTATTTTAGTATTAGTTTTATTTACAGAAATGAAATTTCAGACTAAAGCTCCGTTACGCTTAAATACAGAGCCTTAAAACAAAATGAGCTATATAATTTCCTTCTCCTTTACCCAAAAAAATTTTTCATAACACTTTTTATCAATGTTATTGCACATCTTTGACAAAATGTAAAGTCAGCAAATGATTTTTTATTCGTATGACAGTCATGATTTTTTATTTGTATGTCGACTAAGTTCTAAAAGTTCAAAGTAGATATATTAATATTCCTTAGTAACAATGACGGGATTTAAGAATGAAATAAAAAATTATTAGTGTTAACAAATAGTATTAATTTACCAAATTGCAAGTTTGAAATATTTTATTTTATCTCCAATTTTTAAAAAGTTTAAGTTATTAATTGTGTTATGATCCTCAGAAAATAGTTTTCTATTGTATTATTATCTAATTATAAGTGAAAAAGTTGCATTGAAAAAGTAAAAAAAAAATTTTATACTTCGTTTCCTAAAATTTTTGTTTTTATCTCAAAACATAAAAAGATGGAGATATAACAAAATAACTCTAATCAAAGATTTTTAATAAAATACTTTTAAATGAATTTTATCTCTATACTTGTAAATGAACTATCAGCGTTAATTAAATCCAAGACAAAATTGAGATTACTAACGAATGATACATGCTTGAAACATGCTTTTGACTACTCAATCAAACATGAAAAGTTTTTGAAAACTATATCATTGTTTTTGAAAAGTATTTCAGTATTTTTGAAAAGTGCATCATTGTTTTTGAAAAGTGTATCTTTGTTTTTGAAAAGTATTTCATTGTTTTCATTGTTTTTGAAAAGTATATCTTTGTTTTTGAAAAGTATTTCATTGTTTTTGAAAAGTATTTCAGTATTTTTGAAAAGTATATCATTGTTTTTGAAAAGTATATCATTGTTTTTGAAAAGTATTTCATTGTTTTTGAAAAGTATGTCTTTGTTTTTGAAAAGTATATCTTTGTTTTTGAAAAGTATTTCAGTATTTTTGAAAAGCATATCATCGTTTTTGAAAATTATTTCAGTATTTTTGAAAAGTGTATCATTATTTTTGAAAAGTGTATCTTTGTTTTTGAAAAGTATTTCATTGTTTTCATTGTTTTTGAAAAGTATTTCATTGTTTTCATTGTTTTTGAAAAGTATTTCAGTATTTTTGAAAAGTATATCATCGTTTTTGAAAACTATTTCAGTATTTTTGAAAAGTATATCATTGTTTTTGAAAAGTATTTCATTGTTTTTGAAAAGTATATCATCATTTTTGAAAACTATTTCAGTATTTTTCAAAAGTATATCATTGTTTTTGAAAAGTATTTCAGTATTTTTGAAAAGTATATTTTCTTTAATAAAGAAAGTTTTAAGCTAATAGTTACATTTTTGCAATATTCAATGTTTAATTTGAATTCGCATTCTAAACTCCATGTTTTTGAATTTTTCAATTATTTTATTTTATATAGTAAAAAAACCCTGGTTCCATAAAAATTATTATATGGCATATATATTTACACGGCAAAAAATTTATATAGTGTATATATATATATATATATATATATATATATATATATATATATATATATATATATATATATATATATAAGTAAAAAAAATAGAAGAAAGAAACAGATAAATAATTTTACCAACAAAGTATTATAGAGTACACAAATTATATATTTAAAACAGCTGAACTAAATTAAAGTATTTAAGGGATTGAGAACTTTGTGTTTTTATTTTTAATACTACTTTTTTTTTCATAGTGTTCTTCTATTCCTGGGGCAACATTGTCAATTAGGTCTGCAATATCTTTACGCATACGCTTTACTTGCTTTCGAACCGTTTCATTTTCCACCCTGAGTTCGTGCATTTGATCTTCTATTCTATCCGTGTATGTTTTGATTGATTTTTCGATTTCTTGCTTAGCTATTTCTATACTTGCATTTGAGTTTAACTCAATGCGTTCTAATTGAGAATGAATGTCTTTCATAATAAAATTAATATCATCAATTTTTGTTTCGTTTTGGTTTAAACTTTTTTTTTGCGTATCGTTTTGTAATGTTAAACTTGATATACTGTTAAGTGAATTGTCTAAATTTTCTTTATTATGTTTAGTGTTAGCATTCCGCCTATGTTGCTCTTCTTTAAATAAAAGTTCTCTTTCTCGACGTAAAAGTTCCTCTTCTCTCTTTCTCAGCTCGTTTTCTTTTTTCTCATCAAGTTTTCTGTTTATTCCACGAACTTCGTTTTCAATCGCGCTCTCGGATATTTCATTTAGAGACCGTTTTTCTATTTCTTTTCTGAATTCATTTGTTGATTTAATCAGAATTCCTAGATTTTTTAAATTTATAGACATGCATTAAAACCATATATATAAATTTAAATCATTATATATATATATATATATATATATATATATATATATATATATATATATATATATATATATATATATATATATATATATATATATATATATATATATATATATATATATAAAATTATTATTCAAAAAATAAAACAACTTAGCAATCAGGGGAACAACAAAAAAACATATTCGTAAAATAAATAAAAAATCTAAAATTACCTTGTCTATCATGGTATTTTCTTTTTTTGTGTGGTATTTGTAACATATTGTACTCTCTCCATTGATATAACAGGTGTTCATAACACGGGTAGCAAATTTTTACTTTAGTTGGCATTTTTCCAACTTCATGCTCGCCGGTGTCTAAGAACGGAAAATATACGTCTGAACTTGCAGGCATGTTAAAAACTTTTTGTACTTTTGACTCTAATATCTCTCTGCAAACTGGACATCGAGGTAGGCCGTGGTGCCTATATTCGCTTTTCAAATTAGAAATTTTGTTAACTGAGGGTTTTTGCAGGGTTTTAGTCTCAGATTTTGATGGGTATCGTTTTACTTGTTCGTCATCCGAAGAATTTTCATAAAATACAAGTCGACGTCGCGAACATGAAGGCACGTCGGAGCCCGAGTCATCTTCGTTTTTTTTACGAAAAAGAACAGAAAACTCTGCCATGTTACCTATACATATATTATTGTATATTGATTTTTAATATACCATATTTTTTTTATAAGTTTGTTTTATGTGAAAAAGTTCTTGCTTTACTTATAACACCTTACAAATAATAATTTTTCTTTGCCAGACGGTATTTTTTTTCAACTGCTCTTGTTTTCTTTGCTACTCTCAATTTAGCTTGGCAACTAAAATGAATGACTTTATTAATATTTAAATAATTGAGTTTATAAATATTTAAATTTAAGCTTTTTATTTATATTCCGATCCCATTATTGAAAGCAAATAAAATTTTAAATTTTTTTTTAACTGAATTGATTTCATCCTATGAATTTGAAAACAAAACTATTTGAGATTGGAATGAGGAAAAAATTAATTTTAACTAATTTTTTATTGGTATTTAACTTTTTTTTTTAATGATGCATTTATTTGGTTTGTTAAGTAAATTTTGATTAGGTTTTTCCTTCACGTGACCCAACAAGTTTGTTAAGAAAGCTGAGGAGTAAAACAGACGATAAATACAACAAAGCGCGTTAGTTGCCAAGCGCGTTTAAATAAAGCTTTTAACTCCAATCCGTCTTACTATGAGCCTTCTACAAAAAAGAATTTGCACACGATGTTAGAAGGTACAATACGTTAATATACACATAATTGACTTAAGTCAATTATTGTGTCAAGTCTAAATTCAAACCTTTTTTATTAAGTTAAATTAAGACTTTCACGAACTTATATCATTAGTAAAAAAGATTTTTGAATCTGTCCCGCTGATCTTAAATTTTTCTTTTATACACTTGTGTGTTAACATTTGTTTTATTTTCTTCTAAAGAGAGTTGTCAAATTAAATAGATTTCATGACTGTTTATCCAGTCCAATTATAGCCCACCCAAAATACTCTTACAGTCATTATTAAAACAAATAACAGCATAGTTAGTTCCTATTTCAACTGTTTCTTTACACACAAATGTGTTTTCTTAAAAGTTCTGAACATTATTATGTCATTTAATGTCCTATTTAGATTTTGTGTCTTAACGTAAAAATATTTCGACAACTTGATGACATTTAATTGTTTTAAATATCCAACTCCAGCACAAAATTGATAGCGCTCACCTTGATTTAAAATCAAGGTGAGCGTTAGGTTTTCTTGGGGCACCTAAAAATCAAATTAAAAATATTAATAAAAATAAATTAAAAAAAAAAATTAATTCCTTTAGGGGCATCTACAGCTGTTTTGTAGTTGTTTCAGCTTTTGTTTTTGTTATTTATTGAGGTACTCCAAGAAGTCCAAACAATCTTATCTCAGGGCACCACGGAGCAGCATTAAACCAGGAAGTTCACACCTCCTTCTTTACCAATGACGCATAAATGTCCAGAACCAGTGTTACGGTAAAATAAGACCCATAAAATTAAGACATTAAAAATTATGAAATTATGAATTAAGAAATTATGACACATGACGTCAAAGTTTAGTTTAGTTTTGAAGTTTATATTTTCTGGAGTCTTAATTTCCCACTACACCATATATGAACCACAGGCCTCCAGTTCTAAAGCGAGAACTCCTAATACAACACGACAGCTACTTTTTTAAATGCAGCTTTAACCTGTAATTTTATATCCCTTCAACAAGATAATTTATTCTTTTAGAAGCACAGAATAACCACCTAAGTACGCAATCTACTTTTTTGACCATCTTAAAAAGGCTATAACAGCTTTTTTTTAAAATATACAACTTGTTATAATAGGAGATTTGCGTGGAGAGAAATATTTCCGAATATTTGATCCGTAAGATTTGAGCCGCAACTTAGTAAACCAATTACGTCATCAGTGTAAAACATATTTATTTACTCTTAAAAGTTATTTCACAAGGTCCGCAAAATCAAGATTTGGAAAAATTCTTTAGATATTTGTAACTCATGGTTTGTAATTATAAATATAATTTTGTATATATAAATAAATTTTTGTAATTTTAATATTTTTCCAAATTAAATTTCATGATATTTATTGCTTTTAAATGAATGCCAGTTTAAGGTTTTATATTTAAATAGTTTTAACTTACTTTTGATTATTAAAAAAAAAATTATGTCAAATAATGCACATGAGAAATTTTTCCAGCCTCAAAACAACAAAATAGATAGCATTTTTTAGAATGTACTAAGCATATACCAGAACACAGTTTAACAGTTTTGTTGATTTGCAGAAATGCTTAGTGTTTAGGTCAATTACAATAATTAAATTTGAAAATTTTTTATATCTGTTTTCTGTTACATAGTTTTTTTTACAATATTTGTTTAGAAAAATTAAGACATTTTATTATTATTAGTTTATTAGCAGCAGTATTAAAAATTTACTTAATAGTTATAAAAATAAGCTTTAAAAAAACAATGTACAAAAGGAGCCTACAATATTGGATTTAAAAAAAAAAGATTATTTATATAAAAAAAAAAAAAAAAAATCAACAATCAGAAAAAGTGAAAAAAAATAAATAAATAAATAAATAAAACCAACAAAGCGACAACAAGAACAACAAAAACAAAAAAACTTTGATAAAGATTTATGTAAAAAATGTCTTTAAATTTATAATAAAGGGTATTTAAAAAAAAAAACAAAAAACGATTGTTTTAAAATTTCTTTTAAAAAATATTGTATAGAGAGTATTTTGGGTACTTATATAAAGGATATTTTGATATTATAAAATTAACAAGAGGGTCCTTGTAAAAATAAATTTAGTTTATAATTTTTTATACCAGAAACTAATTAGGCATTGTGTTGGTATAATTACCAAATTTTATAGCAAAAAATGAACTATCCAGCTAAATAATTAGTTTTCATTTCTAGCAAACTTAAAAAAGTTAAAAAAAATAATAATATTTCAAAAGTAAAATTTTAAGTAATTTTTTCAAATTTAGTAATTAGTTAATCTAAAGTGTAGGCTTATTTAACTCCAAGTATTGTTATTTTAATAATAGTTTTACCAACTAAAAAAAATAAAAGTTTTTGTCATGTTTGTTATTTTTAGGAGGTTTTCCTTGTGATCAAACGTGAAAAAACATCAATTTTTCTGGATGTTAAGGAAACAACATATGTGTATGAAATAAAGTCAACACTAGCAACACTTTTAAAGAAGAACACTGATGATATGTGTTTGCTTTACAAAGATAGTATATTAGATGAAAATAAAACTGTTGCAGAGTATGGGTTAACAATGCAAACTACTAAACCTCAAACTCCTGCATTGATTGGTCTTGTTTATAGAATATCAGGTAAAAATTTAATCACACATTTATAATTTTTGTCTTTATGTTTAAATAAATTAAAAAATCTATTTTTAGCAGTGTTAAAGTAGTAAGTGTTTCTGGCATTTGCAAGAGGTATTGAGATCAAACCTAACCATTTCTTTGGTTTAGAGGAAATTAGACTGCTTCCTTTAAATTTGTGACAGCCTTTGTATATATTTTTATATATTATATATATATATATATATATATATATATATATATATATATATATATATATATATATATATATATATATATATATATATAAAGAGCCTATTCTAAAAAAAAATGTGGGCAGCAATACCCCCACGTTCTAATAAACTTTGGCGGAAAACCTGCATTTTTTTCACAAAAAAACAAAACAATATTTGCAGTGAAAATGTAAAATAAACATAAAAAAAAAAGGTCCTCAAATTTTAATTTTAACCAAATACGGTCACTTTTTTGAAAACGGTCTAGAAAACCCCGTATATATCAGGCTTGGACAGGAATGGTGTGCGATCGAGCGCTATTGCTGACCACGCAAATAATTTTATTTTATGACAACTTGACCACGATTGTTTAATAAACAATGTTTATATGTTTTGATGAGTTAAACATTTCAGAATTTTCTGAATGTAGAAACCCTAAGCTAAATTTAAACTAGGAAAAAAATTAAAGAAAAAACTAACGAAAAAAAAATTCCTTGTGAAAAAGAAACAAAAAACAAATTCATAACGAAAAAGAAATTATATAAGCACTAAAATGAAAATAAAAACTTAAACGCGAACCCAACTTTTTGTTACGTTTTTAATTGCATATGAAAAAAATATTATTAAAGCTTATCTTTTTAAGCGTTATTAAAGTTAAGCAAAACGTTTTTAAAATAAGTAACAAATTACTACTAATGATTGGTTTAATAAAAGAACAAATTTTATTAAATTTATAAAAAAGTGTTTTATATAATATTTTTAAATTGTAGACATTTATTTTGTCAAAAAAGTTGCAAAAAAATTGTTAAAAAAAATAACGTAGTCTTTTTAAAATAATAATTTTTACTAATTTCATGCTCTAATTAGTCTAATTAAAAAAAGGTTTTGAACTTTTTTATTTGTAAAAATAGAAAAAAAAAATGCGCCTGCGATTTAAATAAAATAAACTACCAACAAGCTTTTTAATTTAATTTTAATTTGAGTATTACAACTTTATTAATAAGCGCTTCGCGTAACGAATTTAAAAATTATTATAAAAGATTTAATCTCATTCATTTCTAATGAAATTGAAAAAAAAAAATTGTTTACAAAAAATAAAATATTTCTTTAAAACATTTTTAAAAATCGCAAGTTTAATCATGAAAATTAATTGTATGAACATTACAAAATGCTTTAAAACTTTTACATTAAATCAACAAAATACATGCTTATATAAGTAAATAAAGTTATTTTATATTCTTGTGTAATTCACATAAAATGTGTAAAAGTTAGTAGTCACAAAAGTTTTTAAACTTATTCACAAATTAAAGTAACTTAAAAAAATTCTTTTTAAAAATAATGGTTTAAAAATGTTTTAAGAAGACATAAGAAAATAGTTTCAAACGTTGATATTTATCATAAAAAATAAATGACTACATAAAATAAACTTATTTATAACGTTTATTATTAATTTACACAAGCGTTTATGTAAACTATAACTATAACTAATTTTATGGTTTTATTTAAAGCCTTTGCGTAAAATAAATAACTTTAGAAAAGATCAACAGTTAAAAGATATTTATAACATAACACTTTTTTTATTGCATTCAAATTGTTAAAACATCAAAATAGCTGTGGTCAAGTTGTAAATAAAAATAATAGTGTGGTAGCTGTGGTCAAGAAATAAAAATAATAGTGTGGTCAGTTACAGAGTGCGATCGCACCCCATTCCTGTCCAAGCTTGATATATATATATATATATATATATATATATATATATATATATATATATATATATATATATATATATATATAAAATTTAAAAATATACTTAAGCTAAACATTGAATAGACAAAATAAGACATTATTTGATCTTATTTTATCTTTTTTTTAATTTATTTTATTTTTCTTTTAAATTAAAAACAAAACATTTTTATTAACGTTGTGTTCACAATTGGTTTTTGTATGGTTTATACAAACTTGATATAAAGTGAGGGAGCACAGACATCATGGAATCATCTGTGGTAAATAGACAAGGTTGGGGAAGAGATAAAGTTGCAATGGTGTTGTGTATAAAGTTAAAAAAAACTTTCATATAGTATTTTATTTAAATGTTTATTAAAAGAGGGGGGGGGGGTGGCTTTATTATCCCATCACACACTTAGTACGTTGTAGTTGTATATTACAATGTGTTACCATCTATCTTTAAAAAAATAAGTGCTTTAAAAGGTTACAAGCAAACGTAATTTATGAGTTGATGAGTTTACAACGGAAAAACCACAATGTCCTAAATTAGTGTCTTGTTTTCAAAAGAACACTGTGAATAAGTAATAATTGTATTTAGCACAAAAACTGCATTTTTATATTGTATAAAGACTAAAATATACTTTTAATTAAATAAATTATTAATTTATATAAAAATAAATTAATTATTTATTTAAAATATAATTATTAAAACAAAAAAAACTATTAATAAACAGATATCTAATGTCACTAAACACTAAATTTCATTTTTTGAAATTTAGTGTTTAGTAAAAATGAGAAAAATGTGACATCTATGGTTTTACCTGTGTGGTCTAGTTGGCCAGTGTTAGATAAATAAGGATGCATGAATTTTAAAAGGGCGTCTTCATTTTTTTAATCAACTTCTGATCAGAATTTGCTAAAAACATTTTTGGGTGGTATCAATACCTAAACTGGTTTGGTGTCAATACCAAACCAACCCAGTTAAGCATATTGTGTTTGCAGATATATTTTCCTACAATAATTTTTTAAAAGTATTAAGCCAGTAATGTTAAATGTTTTCTCCTGGTCTTTTGGCATTTGTTTGTTTAACTGGTGTTTATCTGGTGTTTATAAGTTCTTTTTCTTGTGCAACTTCTATAACTTCATGTTCTAGAAAGTCATTTTAAAAATATAGGAGTATTATGTGAAAAGTTTAATACTATAGGTATGTGTTCATGACTTCTTAAATTATTTGACATTTGACATTTCTGCCTTTTTTAGAATTTCAAATAATTTTTAGGCTAATTATTTTGACCATTATGGCCTTGTAAACGAGACTAGTTATCTAATTTTTTAAATATGATATTATGTACTTATTTTTTTTAACTTTGATTCTAACTTTTTTTTTTCTAATTCAATGATTAACAAACAACAGCTGGTCAAATATAAGGTTAATACAAAGTCTTAGCGTTTTAATATTGAGTGTTTCTTCTGTTTTAGTAAAAGATGACCTGACATAATATGTCATCAATTGGGAAGCAAAAGTTTATTAAAAAATATATATTTATTTGAATTAAAGCATCTTTAAATTTTTAAATCATAGGTTAAATGAGTCTTCTTTTATATAATTTTTAAATTATAGGTTAAATGAGTCTTCTTTTATATAGTTTTTAAATTATAGGTTAAATGAGTCTTCTTTTATATAGTTTTTTAAATTATAGGTTAAATGAGTCTTCTTTTATATAGTTTTTTAAATTATAGGTTAAATGAGTCTTCTTTTATATAATTTTTAAATCATAGGTTAAATGAGTCTTCTTTTATATAATTTTTGATGACTAATAAAAACTGTCAAATGTCAAATAATTTAAGAAGTCATGAACACATACCTATAGTATTTAATTTTTCACATAATATTCCTATATTTTTACAAAAAGTTTCAGGAAATCTACCTCTCAATTTTTCACCAGAACACTCTTTAAAAATATATGTTTTAATAAAAACAAAAAAAAGTATACAAAAAATTAATGCTACCATGGTTACCAGGCCTCTGTTCTGCCTTTGTTAGAATTTCAAAAGTAGCTACAGGTTAAATAAATCCCCATATTGATGAAATTCTAATAGTTTTCATTGAAAACGAATATTATATTCTGATTCCTCGCCTTTAAAGCTATACTGGTGCTAATTTTTAGGTTAATCACACATATGTTTAGACAGTAACTTGTAAAAAAAAAAAACTATAGTAAAATCAAAATGGTAGCCAAAAAAAAAACTGACAAAAATAGTTGATTTTTAAGTAACAATATCTCTAAAACCCATTTCATATCAGTGCTAAAATTTTGCAAGGTAGTCACTGTGAGGAGCCCATCTGCAAAATGCTAGTCAACGCTAGTAAAAACAAAGTCACAAAAATAAAGATTTTGAGTTAATTTTATTTCCAGATTCTATATACTGAAATCTATCATACATTGACTGCGGTAGTGGTGTAGTGGTAGAGCGCTCGCTTCATAAACAAGTGGTTCCGAGTTCGATCCCCACCACGTCCCTGGTAGTACCGCGCTCAACTCGTTTCTCCGCGCAGCAGCCTTGTTCGTCAAGGTTCGTGTTTCGGAGTTATAGAGTTGAGAGAGGGTTATACAAATAAGTAGCCTCCTCGTCTGTAGTGGCCTTCTCGGCCTTGAGTAGGTGAATTAAAAAAAAATATATATAAAAAAAAAAAACAACATATAAATATTAGAACACTTAAAAGTTTTGTCCTAAAAATAGACAAAGAAAATATTAACTTCTGTTAATTCGCAACTATAAGTAATTTAGTTTTTGTCTTTTTCTCAAAATCAATTTATTCGGACTTGGCACATTTTGCAAATGGCTCCTCATGTTATGAAGGTGACCATTTTTATAAAGTATGAAGAAAACCTAAGATTGATTTGTGATTTACTCATGAGGAATTGGGACAAATGATGCCTGTCCCATTTCCTCATGGAATACCTCTAAGGCATCATGTACTTACAATGTATGTGTATGCATACATCACCAAAATAAAAAAGTTCTAAATGATGCAATTAGGTTGAAAAAAGTTATAAAGATTTTATG